GAGAGAGAGAGAGAGAGAGAGAGAGAACATGCGTGCGCACACACAAATAAATTGTGAAAAAATAAAAAGGGTCAGGGGCTAGGGGTACAGCACAGTGATAAAGCCTTTCATTCCATCCCCAGCACCACCACCAAAAAATTAAAAAGAAAAAGAGAAAAAGTCTGATTACTTCCAGGTAAGTCATTTTAGTATTGTACCAGAACAATTCCATTGAAATTTCAATGTTTGTTGAAGCTGAGCAAAAAAAAAAAAATTACAAAATTAATTTTTTTTTCTTCCACAAAAGACCTAGGTGTGGTGGCTCACACCTGAAACCCTAGTACTCAAGAGAGAGAGGCAGAAAAACCACTTGAAGTTGGAGGCCAGACTGATGTATTTATGTCCACTGTGTGCATGCCTCAGAGTTTAGTAGAGGGCCAATGATCCCTTGGAACTGGAGTTATGGACAGCTGTGAGTGCCATGTGGGTGCTTGGAACTGTATCCAGATCTTCTGCAAAAATAACAAGTTCTAACCACTCGGCCTTCTCTACAGCCCATCTTGCTGGCTACTGAGATGAGTAACTTCAAATAAGCACTTGGAGTCCCCCACATACATTTATTTGCTTAAGAGAAATTTTTTCTAAATGAACAGAGGATAGTTATTGGAGCCACTTTTTAGGTCTCCAAGTTGTCAGATTCCTAAGCCAGGGCAAATTATGTAGTTTGGAGGTGACAAGACTAAATACACAGACTGGGGAGATGGGTTAGGAGGTTAAAAAAAAAAAAAACTCACTTTGCAAGCCAAATATCCTGAGTTCAACCCCAGGATTGTGCAGTAGAAAGAGAAAACCAACTCCTAAAAGTCTTCCTCTAACCTCCACACATATACTATTGCATACTGATGTGCACACGAGGTGTATGTACGTGTGTGCATACAGAGAGCACCATGGATACAAAGTTATAACAAGAAAAGAACTCCTAAGTAACCAAAATAATGTAAGATTTATATATATATTTAACATTACTTACTTACGAAAGCCAAAAGCCAGTATTTTTTTTCATGTCTGACAAAGTTTAATGATCCTGATTACAAGAATGAATCTGCCACATATAGTAATTTTATAGGCACTTCCAAACATATTGTCACTTAGGCACAGTACTCAATAGACTACAAGTTGTGTGGTTGGTTAGAAAGGCAAGATTGAGTAAATGGAAAGGAACAGGCTACTGGAGACAGGAATACACGACTAGCTGGGAGTAACACCAAGCTATAAAGAAAGGGAGAGACAACTACACAAATATGCAAAGCAGTATTTGTCTCCCCGCAGAAGCCTGTATGATGGCTAGACCCTAGCAGAGTTGTCAAGTACTGAGAATTATAGTACTATAATAATTGATGCTAGTTATGACAATCATATTCTTTTTAAAATTCTTAAGTTTTGTTTGTATATACATATATGTAGTATATGTGTGCGTGTGTGTGCGTGTGTGTGTGTGTGTGTGTGTGTGTGTGTGTGTGTGTGTGTGTATACACATGGATCCAGAGGTCAACATCTTCAACTTACTTTTTTGAGACAGAGTCTCTCGCTGAACCACCTACTGACTAGGCTGGCTGACCAGCAAGTTCTGAGGATCTTCCCATCTCTCCCCACAGGCACTAGGATGACAGATGTTCATCACCATGCCTAGCTTTTATGTAGGCAATGGAGATCCAAACTCAGGAGTTCATACCTATACAGCGGGTACTGTATGGACTGACCATCTCCCCAGGGCAATCTGATCTATGTGTGGTATACTCGGTTCAAAAGGTAAACTGAACAACTATTCAACAAATATCTAAAATTTTTAAAGCTTTTGTGGTAAGTGAAGATTCTCGTGATCCCGAAACCACACTACTGTCTTTGCCAGTGACGTTCAGTGTCAAATTGCTACCATATTTTATTGTTAACTTGGGTTTTTGTTGTCTTTTCTTTCATTTTGTGATTTTTCAGTTTTTGAGACGGGGTTTCTTGGGGTAACTTAGGCTGGCCTCAAACTCACAGCAAGTCTCCTGCTTCGGTCTCCCAAGCACTGAGATTACAGGTATAAACCATCATTCATGGCTACCGTATTATTTTAGATGTGATCAACATACGTTTGATGACTGGCTGGCCGTCTTGTCACATTACAAACTCGGTATTTTCGTTTCATCTGTCCACAGTGAGTCACCTCAACTTTGAGACCTGAAAAAAAATCATAGCCTTTTTTTAAAAATCATAGTGACAAAACCAAATGTTGTCTTCAAAAAGTCAAGGAGTGGCCAGACATGGTGGGACACATTTTTAATCTCTTTTTTAAAAATTGTGCTCTTCGCGTCCTGTGGCTGCTGCTGAAGCCCAACATGACAGAGACCTAATGGGTCATGAAAAAATCTACCCTTCTGATGCCAATGGAGATTGAGAGCCCAATATCACCAACTTTGGCAAGCATTAATGTAAGCCTAGGAACTGTAGCCATGAGATTGGATTCTCCAGAAGAGCTGCCAGC